ATGGGAGGGAACCTGGGAGACACTGGTGCTGGAAAATGTACACTGGAAGGATGGGTACTGGAACACTGTATGACTGAAACCTAATCATTAATAGAGTCAGAAAAGATAGAACAGGTGTTCAGACTTTTGCCTTACATGTGTCCAACCAAGCACTGCAAACTTGGTCATTCCCACAAGTGCCTGATTATAGAGCCAGGAATAGCCCCTAAGCACCATGGGATGTGTGACAAATCAACCATACTCCCCCTCCCTACCCCTCAAACAGTCAGAATCTACTGAAATGTTCTTTTTGACTTTTTTGGGTCCACTCCTATTTTTTCCTAAAAGCCAAGTAAAACTTTATAGCTTTCTTTTCTACCACTATTTATATGGCCTTTGCCCTTAAACTCTTTCCTTATAGTTTATTCACTGATGAATGAAGAACATTTACATAATAGATTACTGTGCCACATAAAACATAGGTAGGGGTCAGAGAGAGAGCACAAAGCTAAGGAGGTTGGTTCCCCAGCACAACATATGGTCTCCTGAACACCACTGTGAGTGTACCCTGATCACAGAACCAGGAGTAGGCCCTGAGCACAACTGGATATGGCCCAAAATAAACAAAGTATAAAAAAGCAAAGTTAAAGTACCCTATCAGTTATTTGGGTAACCATTTAACTGTCACGTATTTAGGTTTAACTATGGAGTAATAAAAAATTGGAAGTTTTATGTAAACATGAAAAATGAGATGTAAAACAGGGCACCAACACTGTGGAATGTATACATACATATTTTATAAAAATATGAAATTTTAACCATGAATTGAATTCAGAAAGGGCTTTTAGGGAAGTTTTCATTATATTACATTATCATTTATTTTTATGATGATGTAACGCATAATGAAACAGAAAAAAACAGAAAATAAGATTAAGAGCCCCCACACCTTAATTCTGCCATAACAATGGACCTAGCTCCACAACTCCTCTCCAGGTAGATCAATCAAAGCTCAGCTGGCTTCTCTGGACTTTTGAGAATGGGAGTGAACAGATTCTTCCCCTTTCCAGCTAGGTCCACCAGCGCCCACACCCAAACTCCCAGATCCACAACTCCTTAACTGCCTGACTGCTTATATGGCCATCTGATAGCTCCTCCTCATTCCGCACTACTCAAACCACTATTATAGGAGAATAGCAAGCTCAAGAGGGAAGACATGTAGAAGTCCACCAATCTCACTGGGTGAAAATAATAACACAGAGGGCTCAAACAGCATCAACCAACACAGAGAGTCAGCGAAATCAGCAATGCAGAAATCAGAATGAGTGCTGAAATGAGAAAATGACAGTCATGGTGGGTGATTTAAAACACTTGATAGAAGCTCTGAACAGTATCTGAGCAAAAGATCAAGGAGCTCCAGGATGAGATAAAGGAAACTGCTAACAAACAACAAAAGGTGGAAATCAGTCTGAAAAGAAATGAAGAGCATACCAGAGAACTATGGGATGAGCAAAGGAGGAACAATATAAGAATCATCAGATCCAGGAAAAACAGGAAGGCAAACTAGATGAACAATATTTAAATCATAGGAATTTCCTAGACTCAAGGATTACAGACACCAAGATCCAAGAAGGCCCAAAGGGTCCTGGCAAAAATAAATCCAAGTAGGAAAATTCTAAGACATATTACAATCAAAATGAAAAATTCTGAATATAGAGACAGATAACAAAAGTGGTGAGATCAGGAAGGCAATTTGTATATGAGTCACAGTAGATCTGTAATTGAAACTCAATAAGCCATAAGGAAATGAAGGAATACAGAACAAAAAAAAACAAATGAACACCACACTAAGAATACTCTGAACAGCTAGATTCTCGTTCAGCTTTGAAAGAGCAATATAAAGCTTCAGGAACAGACAACAGCGTGGGAATTCATAGCCTTAAAATCAGTTTTAGAAGAAGTGTTAAAGCAGCTTTCTTAAAGACAGGACGAACTTCCAAGGATGTGTCACTGAGTATGGCATTCATGGCATTCACTCATGATGCTTATGGTTGTCATCTACTAGATTAAGGAATGTTGACTCCTAACTTGCAAGGGATTTTATATATTTTTAATAATGAATTAGCGTTCAATGTGCCAAGTCTTCGTAGTCTTTTCCATGTTCCCTTTTTTAGGATAAACTGTAATATCACTCTGCCCCCAATGTAATTTATTTTAGATAAAAAAGTTGAGAACTTATTTATGTAAATAAGAGTAGGTATATATCATATTAAATTACTTTAATTTCTTCATTCATGTAGATAAATATCATAGAAATCACCACAAATTGACTTTTATTGTCTGATTAATGCATTTGCCATTCCCCTAAGTTTTCTTCGAGCAAATAATATGTTTAATATGTAATAAACTGGGCTGAAGCAATAGCACAGCAGGTAGGGCATTTGCCTAGCATGTGGCCAACCTGGGTTCATTCCTCCACCCCTCTCGGAGAGCCAGCAAGCTACTGAGAGTATCCCGCCCATACAGCAGAGCCTGGAAAGCTCCCTGTGATGTATTCAATATGCCAAAAACAGTAACAAGAAGTCTCACAATGGAGACATTACTTGTGCCCGCTCAAGCAAATCGATGAACAACAGGAGGACAGTGCTACAGTGCTATGTAATAAACTTGTTTTACACCTACTAAAGGAGCAGGCTGGGGGTGGGACGAGACTGGGAACACTGGTAAAGGGAAGGTCACAATAGTGGTGGGACTGGTGATGGAACACTGTACGCCTGGAACAACTGTTTAGATTGTTAACACTTAAATTTTCTAAGTGTTAACATCAGTTTAATAGTTTAGTCCTACTACTAAATGAACTGCATTTTACTGTGGTTCTACTTTGCATTATACCAGTAAATAATGAATGGAGAGGGGCCTGAGATATAACATAGAGTGAAAGGGGCTTGCAATGTACACAGTCTATCCAGGTTCAATCCCTAGAATCCTGTATGGTCCTCCCAGCTTAGTAGGAGAGGTTTCTGAGTGCTGAGTCAGGAGTGAATACTGGCTGAGTGAAGCAAAAAAAAAATTAAAAAATTAAAAAATGTTGCGCACCTTTACATATGTTTACCAATCATTTGAGTATTCCCATTTTTTGAAGTCTCAAGTTTGTCTATTTTACTTTTTTCAATTTTTTTTGGTTTTTGGGCCACACCTGGTGTTGCTCAGAGCTTACCCAAAGGTCACTGCTGATGGGCTCAGGGAACCATATGGTGTACTGGGGACCGAACCCAGATTCACTGCGTGCAGTGCAAGTGCCCTACCTGCCAGACAATCTCTATGGCCCCATTTTTTGTTTCTTGCTGATTTATATACTGTCTTTTAATGTACATATTTAAATGTTTTCTCTCATATTTCAGTTTGCTTTTTATTTTCTTTTTTGAGTTTTTTCAGCTTTTGTTTTTTTTGGGCCCTCTGGCAGGGTTGAAGGGAATGGAATCTAGATCAACCACATGTAAGGCAAGCAACCTACCCACTGTTCTAGTGTTCCAGCCCCTAGTTTTTGCTTTCTTAATGCTTTAAAAAAGACATTTCTTAATTCTGATAAAGAGAATTTCTTTTAAAAATTCAACTGAGGGGCCGGAGTGATAGCACAGCAGGTAGGGCGTTTGCCTTGCACGCAGCCGACCTGGGTTCAATCCCTGGCATCCCATATGATCCCCCAAGCACCGCCAGGAATAATTCCTGAGTGCAGAGCCAGAAATAACCCCTGAGCATCGCTGGGTGTGACCCAAAAAGAAAAATAAATAAATAAATAAAAATTCAACTGATACATTTTTCCTTTAGCAGTTAATTTTTTGTCCCATTAACAATATGTATCTTCCTTGTATATGGCTGACCTGAGTTCGATCCCTTGTATCCCATATAGTCTCCCGACCAACGCCAGGAGTAATTTCTGAGCACAAAGCCAAGAGAAATTTCTGAGTATCGTCAGGTACTGAACAACTCAGGGGTTGTTCCCATTAGTGGTCAAGAGGCATGAGAACACTCCTAGCAAATCAAGGGCAAAAAAGAATCTATCTTGAGGCTGGAGTGATAATACTTTGAGTAGGGCAAGTGCATTGCACACAACAGACCCAGGTTCAATCCCAGCATCCAGTGTGGTTCCCCCATGACCACCAGGAGTGATCCCTGAGCATTGAGCCATGAATAAGTCCTGAGTATGGCCAGAGTGTGCCCAAGTATGGCCTTAACACAAAACAAGACAAGAAACATCTATTTTTCTGAGATCTGTAATAAGATTTGTGGACAGTGTCTGCCTTGCAGGCCTGAGGCTATGAGTACAATCCTAGCAACACCATTACTTGGGAACCCAAACAACAGAACACCACAAACAAATGTGGTCTCCACTGAACCACAAATCAAGTAATTTGGAACATTTTAATTAAGAGGTGTGTGACCAATAGCACGTGAATGAGCATCACAACTTAAAAGTTTGCAATCTCTGGTAAGCAGAGCAACCAAGTATGGGAGCACTACAAGTATGCACAGTACCCAGACACTGCAACAAAGGAAAAAGAAACTTAAATTCTTTTTGTGGCAGACATATGAGCTAAATGCACAGGGGTCTAGGTCTACTTCCCAATACCACTTGGTTCCCTCCTTCCTTTTCCTTTATTTTGGGGGAAAGTAGTGAGAACACACCTTGTTCTATGCTCAGGGGTTGTTCCCATTAGTGGTCAAGAGGTATGAGAACACTCCTAGCAAATCTTGGCCAACCTGGCCAGTGATTCAATGGGAGGATGCAGCAACGCTCAAGTACTATAGTGCTTGTGGCCTCCACAGTCAACCCAGCAAGGCTTAGGGAACATTTGAATAACATTCTGAAGATCAAACCAAGTCAGCTGTAGGCAAGGCATGAACCTTCAGTCCTGTAATATCACTCCTACTTAAGTGCTATTTTTAAAGGCAATAATAGTCACCAAGCTTCACACATAAATCATAACATACTATGAAAAAAGTTACCACTGAAACAAACTTACCCATAGTAATGGCTCTATGGAATTGATGCATGTCTTCTCCTGAAAGTTCCTGAGCAACCTGAAATATCTTCTGTCTGACACCATCCAATTTAATTTCTGATTCAGTTAGAATTTCTTCCATATCAGGCTCACTAAAATCAAAACATTGGAAACCACTAAGTACATGAGCCAGGTGTTTTGAGAGCGAAACAGTAAAATATCTAAATACCAATTAACACAAAGCTTAACACAAAATCATACCACAATTTTATTCAAAGCACATAAAACAGAAAAGATGCCATGATATAACACACAATAATGTAAAAACTATACAAAACTTGTATGTAGGGCCAGGAAGATAGCTGAACAGATTGAGTGCATGCTTCGCACAACAACCACCCATACCCAATTGCCAACATTTAATATATAATCATGAGCACTGCGAAGAGCAACTGCTGAGCGTAAAGCTGAGAGTATGTCCTGAGCATGACTGACTCAAAATAAAAAAACCTTTCATATCTGCTTCTAAGTGAATGGACATGGAAAGTATCATGCTAACTGAAATGGGTCGGAAAGAGAAGGACAAACATAGAATGACTGCACTCATTTGTGGAATATAAAGTAACAAAATATGAGACTAACACCCAGGGACAGAAGAGACAAGGGCCAGGAAGATTGCTCCATGGTTGGAGGGCTGCCCCTCTTAAGCTGGGGGAGAAGGCAGCTGAGATAGAGAAGAGATCACTAAGTCCATGATGGTTGGCGGGAACGCTCGGGATGGGAGATGTGAGCTGAAAGTTGAAAAAGAACCAAACATGATGGCCTCTCAGTAACTGTATTGCAAACCATAATGCCCCAAGTAGAGAGTAAGAAGAAAATTATCTGCCACAAAGGCAGGGATGCGGTCACATGAGGGTGGTGGGAGAAATACGAGGGACATTGGTGGTGGAAAATGTGGAAAGTTGGTGGAGGGATGGGTGGCCTCCACAGTCAACCATTTTCAATCATTTTATGACTGAAAATCATGAAAGCTTTGTAACTATCCATGGTGATTCAATTTAAAAAAAAACTTTCATGTGTAATATTCTAACTGTAAGAAAAATCACGTTCATAAGTAAATGACATCTGTTGTCTGTTTTCAGCCTAAGTTATCCTCCTACTGAAACAAAAAATAATAAATACATATGTACACGTACAAACAATACAGCACTATAGCACTGTCCTCCCGTTGTTCATCAATTTGATAGAGCAGGCACCAGTAATATCTCCATTGTGAGACTTGTTGCTACTGTGTTTGGCATATCGAATAAGTCACGGGGAGCTTGCCAGGCTTTGCTGTGCATGCATGATACTCTCAGTAGCTTGCCAGGCTCTCCGAGAGAGGCGGAGGAATCAAACCCGGGTCAGCTGCGTGCAAGGCCGAACTCCCAACGGCTGTGCTATCGCTCCAGCCCACAAAAAATATAAAAAGTATTTTTGAAAAATGGTTTTCAGACACTCGACTAAGAAAAGCTGTCCCTCTACTGAACTGCCCTTCTATCTTCCCAGAGAGTTTCCAAGTTAAGGTGCAGGAATGAAAAAACATTAGACTTTGCCTATCTGTCAGATGATAGGAGTTGGAAATTCAAGGGAATAAAGATGGCTAAAATTTTTCAGGGAAAAGGGGAAGAGTAAAGAGCAAGTGAGAGATTGATTTTTCATAGATATACAAAAGGAAACTACTAAAATGTTTATCTGAATTCTGATAAGTGTACGTCTCTAAGGAAACTACCCAAGACTGAAAAACAATCCACTCATCCCAGTAAGTAACAGGATAACCTTTATACCTAACAGAAATCGAGAAACAGTTGATTCACAATCAGCAGTCTAATATTATAAAAGAATGCTAAAGAGTATTTTAGATTAAAAAGAGTAAAAGGTGGGACTGGAGAGATACTACAGCAGGTAGGGGGTTTGCCTTGCACGCGGTCAACCTGGGTTCAATTCCCAGAATCCCATATGGTCCCCTGAGCACCGCAAGAAGTAACTCTTAAGTGCAAAGCCAGGAGTAAACCCTGTGTATTGTCGGGTATGACCTAAAAGGCAAAAAAAAAAAAAAAAAAAAAAAAAGAGCCATAGGATAAGGGTTAGGGCACTTGCTTTGCTCACAGAAGACCTGGGTTTGATTCCCAGCACCGCATTTTCGAGTTCCATGAGCAGTGTTAGAAGTGATACATGAGCACAGAGCCAGGAGCATAGCCTGAGCACTGCTGGATGTGGCCTTCCCAAACAAAATGGGTAAGAAAACAACAAGGAACCAGAAAGACAGTATATATAACATAAATATATATATATACATATATTATGTATATATGCAAACAAAGCAATGAAGAATATCAGAAGTGGTAACTGTGGGGATAAACAACATTTACTTCTTTAAATCATACTGCTTAAGGTAAAAATAATCAAATATGGTATGGATTATAGCAAATACAGAAGTAACATGTATCAAAAAAGTAGCATAAGGGGTAGGGGATGTGGCTCACTGGGAAGGAGCCCATGAACATTTTGTGCACAGTACAGAATTTGACCCATGGCACCACATGGTACCCGAAACACTATCAGGAGTAGCAATGGTAACCCAGTGCTAGGCCGGAATACTAAAAAGCAGTGAATAGTCAGTTGTACCATGGGGCTAAATATCAGTGGGCCAAGTATCTTATCACTGGGAGTGATCCTCTCACCCCCCACTCATAACTCTTTCCCATAGCTGGATGCGGCCGTGTGTGTGTGTGTGGATTCTTTTATGCACGTTCCACAATGATTACTTAATACTTATTTCCCAGGTAATGTTGAGTGAATCTATTTGAAATGTTGTTAAACAAAACAGGTGCAGTGATTAAATCAACATATAAGGTAAAATGAAAAAAAAATTGCCAAAATAAGGCAGAAAGGGGCAACAGATGTACATGTAAATCCAACCATGTTTTAATAATCACATAACAGAAGTGATTTTTTGGGGGGAGGGGAGCAGGAATCTCATGCAATGCTCAGAGAGGCCCCACCAGCAATTCCTGGTCAAACGAACCAATGACTCAATGCAAGAACCCAAGGATGCAATGCTGCTGATTCTATAGTGCTGGGGATTACTTAAGAAACCCCACTCCAACAGTGCAGAGACACACCTAGTGGTGCAGAAGGATGGATGCACCCAGTGATGCTTGGGGATCATATGGTAATTGAACCCTGGGATGTGCTTTAACCACTATACTATCTCCCAGACATAAAATGTAAATGCTTTAACCATTTTCACAGTGTTTCAAATGTTAAAACTGTGAGAATGGACAACACACACACACACACACACACACACACACACGGGGGGGGGGAGAGACAGAGAGAGACAGAGGGGAGGAGAGAGAGAGAGAGAGAGAGAGAGAGAGAAGAAATACACTTCAAACACAGAAACATAAAAATAAAAGGACAAGACTCAGAATTGAATTTCTTCAAAGCCAGCAACAAGAGCAAACAAACAAATAAACACTGTCCTCCCGTTGTTCATTGATTTGCTCGAGCAGGCCCAGTAACGTCTCCGTTTTGAGACTTATTGTTACTGTGTTTGGCATATTGAATATGTCACCGGTAGCTTGCCAGGCAGGCAAGATACTCTCGGTAACTTGCCAGGCTCTCCAAGAGGGGCGGAGCAATCAAACCCGGCTCAGCCGGGCTGGCTGCATGCAAGGCAAACGGCCTACCGCTGTGCTATCACTTCTGCCCAACACACCACAAAGATGCCCCTGGACCCTGCACCAGGCTTTCTCAACGAGGGCAATCCGGAGCGGGGAGGGTGAGACCCCTCCCACCTGCCCCAATAGAGCCCCGATACCTGAAAACGTCCAGAACTCAATCCTGCCATGCTCATGGCTAACTTCCAAAGGCTCAAACAAGCCTCATCCATAAGTGAATCTGCCAAAAAAAACCCAGGTATGAAGGACTTGTGACCAAAATCTCCAGGCTCGCATGGAGTTGGGAATGGGCGACCTCCCCACATCTCTCTGTGCTTTCAGTAGCCTGGCAGTCACTCCTGCCCACAAACTGCCTCTGGTGCCATCTAAGCTCATTAACGGCCATGATCCAGACTCACAAATAAATCTCTCAGAAGAGAGCAAAATGAGCAACACGCTGCAAAGATGCCTCTGGACCCCAAAGTCACATTCAGTTAAAAAAAAAAAATTTAAATTCACCTCAGCTGTACCACGGTATTTAAAATTTTAGAATTGGGGCTGGAGCAATAGCACAGTGGGTAGGGTGTTTACCTTGCACACAGCCAACCTGGTTTTGACTCCCAGCATCCCATATAGTCCCCCGAGCACCACCAGGAGTAATTCCTGAGTGCATAAGCCAGGAGTAACTCCTGTGCATTGCTGGGGGTCACCCAAAAAGGAAAAAAAAAAAAGTTAAATTTTAGAATTCCTGAACATCTCATATTCTACACCACTGATATATCAAGGATTTAATGACTTCAGGGTCAAGTACAATCTTCACACACTTTCCCCTAAGGAAACTTTTTGCATTATTTTTAGTGGATTATTCAAAACAAGCAATATAAAATAATTTAGGTCCTGCTTTGGGGGGTCAGGCTTTGGGGGAAGGAATGGAAGCATTCAAAATATGGTGGTGGTAGGAAGGTGTAATGGTGATGGGACTGATGTTGGAATATTAAATGTAACAAATTATTGTGAACAAGTTTATAAAAATAATAAATAGTAAAGGTAAAGGTAAAGGCCCTCCCGTTGATCGTCGATTTGCTCGAGCGGGCCCAGTAACGTCTCCATTGGAGACTTTGTTGTTACTGTGTCTGGCATATCGAATACTCTCGGTAGCTTGCCGGGCTCTCCGAGAGGGGCGGAGGAATCGAACTCGGGTCGGCCATGTTGGCCGCGTGTAAGGCGAACGCCCTACCCGCTGTGCTATCGCTCCAGCCCCAATAAATAGTAAATAAATAAAATTTAAAATAAATAAAAGGACAAAAATACATATCCTGGGGTATGAGGAAAGGATAGAGCATTAAACTCAAGTGCAAACTTTGGTGATAGATGTGACTACTTACATATACAAAAAGGAGTAAAACCATATACCCAAAATTTTATAATATTGCTAATATATCATTTGAGGAAACATAACCCTGCTCTTTCAAAAGAAAACCAGTACCTCCATGAAGAAAGCCAATTTTGCAAAATGTTATTTCCAAGGACTATCACAATGACAAAAGGGCAAGTGAATGCAGAAATCCTAAACATAAATACAGCAAATAAGAGGCCTTCAAATTACAGACAGATAAAAATATAGAGACAAATCCGCAATTTTAGCCCTCTCAATAACTAATATAACTCTACAGAAAACTTGTAATATGCAGACAATGGCATACATAACCTACCAACCTGGTATTTACACAATAATACACACAAAAGCAGAATATATACTTTAAAAAAAACATTTTTCCCACATAGACCACATTCTGGGCCAAACCTCAGGCAATTCAAAAGGATTCAAATCCTAGAAAGTATATCCTCTGACTACAATGGAATCAGTAAGGGAAGGATGTCTAGAAAATCTTCATGTTTAGAAATAATATAACATTGGTCAGAGATAAAATCTAAATAAAAATTAGAAAATATTCTGAACTGAATGAAAATGAAAAGATATGCAAATATGTAGACTACAGCAAAAGCATACTCAAAAGGGAAATTTGTAATACAAGATTGTATTAAAAAGAAATTATATTTCTTCTTTGATCTCAGCTTACACCTTAAGAAACTAGAAAAAGAACATTAATTCTAAGCGTAAGCACTGTAGCACTGTAGCACTGTAGCACTGTCCTCCCATTGTTCATCGATTTGCTCGAGTGGGCACCAGTAACGTCTACAACAAATTGTGAGACTTGTTGTTACTGTTTTTTAGGCATACTGAATACGTCACTGGTAGCTTGCCAAGCTTTGCTGTATGGGCGAGATACTCTCAGTAGCTTGCCGGGCTCTCCCACAGGGGTGGAGGAATCAAACCTGGGTTGGCCATGTCAGTCGTGTGCAAGGCAAATACCTTACCTGCTGTGCTATCGCTCCAGAAAATAGAAATACATGTAACATGAAACCAAAAATACATAATATAAATGAAACCAATTGCTTATCCTTTAGATCCTTTAGATCAATAATTAATAAGACTGTTAAATGTCTCCCCAATCAGGAAAAGAGAGAGAATACAAATTACTAACATCAAGAATGAAAGGAAACATCACCAAACATCCTACAGAAATAAGAAAGCATTATGAAGTAAGACTAAAATTCCTTGACAGATACAAACCATCAAAGTAGGAGCTGGAAAGATAATACAGTGATTAAGACAGTTGCCTCACATCTAGCCAACCTTGACCTGCAGCACCACACAGTTCACAAACCCCTGTGGAGTAACCCATAAGTACAGGGCCAGGTGTGGTCCCCAATCAATAACAAAATCATTAAATCTACTAATAGTAGTTATCATGCTCTGGTTGATTTCTTCAATAAAATTTTTATTTTTCCGTAGTTTATTATTTTCCTTAAGTTAACTTCTTAGTAATCAAAAAATATTTGCACAGTATGGCCATAACTATGAGAAAGACTGTAGCACTGTAGCACTGTCCTCCCGTTGTTCATCGACTTGCTCGAACAAGCACCAGTAACATCTCACAACAAACTGTGAGACTTGTTAATGTTTCTGGAATATCGAATATGCCACGGGGAGCTTGCCAGGCTTTGCCGTGCAGGCAAGATACTCTCAGTAGCTTTCCGGGCTCTTCAAGGGGGTGGAGGAATCAAACCCGGGTCAGCTGCGTGCAAGGCAAACACCCTACTGGCTGTGCTATCGCTCCAGCCCATAAGAAAGACAAAGTATAAAAATATGAAATCCCATTCATAGAGGCTACCTTTGGTTATTATGACTGATTCACTCAGTAGCATTACTGTTCTAATTTTTTTTAATTATTGAGGATTTTTTTAAGTTTAAAATAATGTGCGCAGTTTTCTGATTGACAAAGATTTATAAGAAGTTATGAAAGTAGACCAGCCCGCCTGCTCCTCTCTGGAAAGAAAGATGGCGGCCGCACGGGAGCCTTGTGGAAAGCGGGTTTGAGCCGGGCTGGGGGAGCGGCGGGGACCTCATGGGAAGGGGGGCTTTGTGGGCCGTCCCCCACGCCCCACCAAGGTCGCCAGCTGCCCCCCACGAGCGGCTCTCCGGCACGGCCACGGCCCCGGAGGCACAAGGACTTAGCACAGAGAACCAGCTGCTTGGAGCAGAAAAGCAAATGGACTTGTGTTGATCCGCGCCACCAAGCCTGCCCGGAGGGGGAAGGGCGTTGACCAGCCCGCCTGCTCCTCTCTGGAAAGAAAGATGGCGGCCGCACGGGAGCCTTGTGGAAAGCGGGTTTGAGCCGGGCTCGGGGGAGCGGCGGGGACCTCATGGGAAGGGGGGCTTTGTGGGCCGTCCCCCACGCCCCACCAAGGTCGCCAGCTGCCCCCCACGAGCGGCTCTCCGGCACGGCCACGACTCCAGGGCACAGAAACCAATCTCTTAATTAGCTAACTTTTAATAGAAATTTTTCCAGGGTCAATAAGTAAAATAGCAGAAATTCAAAACCGCGCGGCCGCGATAGCGGCCGCGCGACCTCATTTTATTCTTAAACCAAGTTGTAGAAAGCAAATCATTTCACAACGCTGTTTCAGCATGTCTGATTGGGGGGGGGGGGGGAGTGGGTCGTAAGCTCTAAACAATAGTTGTGCATCTTCTATCGAAATAATCTATCTAGTCAAAGTAGATAGAGTATTAACTAGAACTCATCTGCCTCACAAGAATTGGGAGGGGTGGGAGGTGGGGGTCTATTGGGGTTCGGGGTTAAAAATGAGTATTGGTAAAGGGAAATGTGTTCGGTATCTACATGACTGAGACCTAAACCCGAAAGCTCTGTAACTTTTCCCACAGTGATTCAATAAATAAATAAATTATAAAAAAAAAAAAAAAAAAAAAAAAAAAAAGAAGTTATGAAAGTAATCTCTCCTAAGGTATTTTTTCTATTACAGTTCTATTTTTAAAACTGTTAAAGAGTGATTACTGTTTGAAAATTGCAATTTTTACCGAAAGAAAAAAAGCATTTATAAAGAACAATTATATAGAACAATTTTGCTCCTTTGCATAATGTAAGCCTGAATCCAAGTTTAAGCTTGTATTATTCCCATCCAACATGGTCCCCAGAGCATATTCAAGACTGTTCAGGAATGACCCAACAGCAGAGTCGGGAAGTAAGTCCTGAATACTACAGGGTGAAGGGCATGGCCCAAACATAACAATAAGTTAATTTTGCTAAATTTAAAAACACTGCAATATTTGTTTAAAGGTCACACCCAGCAGTGCTCAGGGAATCATGCAGTGCCTGCGGGCCTCCTGTACGCAAAACATGAGCTCCAGCCCTGTAATATTTTAATAAAAATATGATTAATTACACTTGGTGTTCCTTAAATACACTATAAGATACAGAATGTAAAGCAAATCACAAGTATCATTCTAGAGGATTTGAAATTTGTAGTATGTAATTACAATGATGACAACTTCTTCCTTCATATGACCACAGAAACAAAAAAAAACTAGTCAAAGAAAATATATAGCAGTAAACAAAGAAGCAAAGATGAAATATGGAGATATCCAGATGCATTAAAATATTCCTAAATCTGTCTCATTCACTATCCTCCTCTACTTATTTTAGATTGGTTTCTTTTATACACACTACTAAATATACAGAGCCTAGACAGAAAAATAAAATAGTAAAATTCTAGAAAAAGAAATCTCAAAATCATGTCACAGAACTGAAAGAGAAGAATTTTCAAAAATTTACTCAAAAAGTGTAAAATAATATTACAAAAATGTAAAATAAAATTTAGGGCAAAAAAGTGTACTGAATTTTGCAAATATGTCAGTGTTTCAATAGTTGGGATGCAGAAAGCAAGCTTGCAATCAAATGGAAAATAAATGGGAAGGTAAATTAAACAGATTTATTCAATATGAAATTTTTACATAAATTATTCAAGAAAAGTTGTAAAGACAGTAAGAAATTTAACTTATTTCCAGTGATCTTAATCTTAACAGAATATAAAATCACTGCCTTAAAAATATGAATTTTCAAAATCTACCCACTGCTATGTTCTCTAATCCCAGATTTCACAAAATATTTTCAGTATTCTATATATATGTGAATACACACATATACATCTATAATGCACACATAAGAAAACAAATTTCAAATAAAATCCAACCATTAGTAAATTTTAAAGGTATTTACTTACCTTGTAATCCTGTGAAGAAGAAAAATTGTCCTTTTACTTTCAACAGTTATATCCCGACTTAGTTTCACAAGTCTTTCATATCTGTCATGCCTTGCATCAAGTTCCTGCTGAAATGCTAATAATATTATTAGAACCATAAGAATAAATTTATATACTTGAAGCCTACCAATCAGTATTACTACTATGAACAATAAACCAATTCAATCTACAGAAAAAGGACAAATCATCTTATTTATTTTAAAAATACTTAGCAATTACAAATTGTTATAAAAAAAATTCTTTTAAGAAAATAGCTATGTACTAAATACATGCACCCCCCCACACACACACAAACACATACATATATACATGGCATATATGTACATATAACAAGAAATAGTTGGTGTAGTACACATGAGTCCAGAAACAAAATTATCACATATAACTGCTTAAAAAAACTGCCTCTAGGGGGGTTTGGGCAATTGTACAGATGGTAGGGCATTTGCCTTGCACATGGCAAACCCAGGTTCTATCCACAGCATCCCAATCTGCCCCTAAGCCTGCCAGGAGTGATTTCTGAGTGCTGAGCCACTGGATGTGGCCCAAAAACAAAAGTATAAAAACAACAAAAAGATTGCCTCCAACTAACTCCTAAGTTATATAAAGCTTTTTGTTTTTGAATGTTCTTACTATGTACTATATAAATATCTCCAAAACAGGAACTGGATTTTTTGAGTAAAAATCTGTAATTTTAATAAACATCAACTCCCTGAATTTTCAAATCTTACTTGTTGAAATACCTAACAGACACTGTACTCTCATAGTACCTACTTTATTTCAGGTATTGTCACTCCAAATACCTAACAAGCTGCATGTCCTACGGAAAAAACCCAATAGATGTATTTTATATGCTTTTTAAAAAGAACACAATTTCAATGAACTACTTATCAAATCAGTGCCTAAATGCATCTTTCTTTTAAAGATTACTGAGATAACCAAGCCAGAACTTCAGCAAATATTCAAAACAATGAACACGCATTCAATATTTTCACAAACATGTAATGATTATGAATTATACTATAAAGACTAAATTAAATAACCATAAGATCAATCTACTGAGATGTAAACAAATACTTAAATGTGTATATGCTATAAGCAAAAGGCTCAATAAAGCAGTAAATAACATTTTCCTGTCCATTACTAACACACACTTGAACTTAATAAATATTCAATATTTCATGACTGAACAGATGAATGGACAAAGAATGAATGCAATGTTTTTCACCAAGCTTGCCTGAGGAAAAAAAATCAGAAAGGCTTCTAAGGAAAGCTCTAGTTGAGCTAGGTCTTTAAAAAAAAAAAATACATAGCTCACCAGATAGGTAATATAGGGACTGCACTAAATGCAATTTAATGTTTAAAGAAAATATGTGGGCAAAAGCAGGCAGAAACAGAAATCATTAAAATACACTTAGAAAAAAGCAGCTTATTATAGGAAGTCAGAATGTGTAAGTGTGGGGAATAGTTGAGCCACTGCTGTTTTCCACTGACTACAGCTGTTAACAATATCCTCTACTCAAAAGGTTAGTCTTACCCTTCTGAGTATCACTGTAGGTGCTATGGGGTTTTAAAATGTCTTCATACTGCTTAAGACTCTTCTCTTCAAAAGGTGGAATCCTTGTAAATTTATATAGAAAGCAGGGTTTTTTTTTTTTTATCTTACTTTTAATACAGAGTGTAGAAAAACTAACAGACTATCAACTCTTGAGAGTGGGACACAGAGGCTGTGTTTTCATCTTGTTCGGAGTCCCGACCAAGGATGATGCCAAAACATGAGATAAAATAATGGTGCGGTCATTTGCGGACCAACAGTTCCAGATCATTCAGCACCAAACAAGGCTTCATATAACTTCACTTAGAATAAAAACCAAGCCCTTTCAGATTTCTGAACTACAGAAATTATAAGATGTGGAAGAGGTGATAGAGAACAAGATAAAGAAAAAACGGAGGAGAGGTGCAGTCACAACCAATGGTGCTGGGTCGGCTTTCAGAGATGTTCCAGGACCATGTAGAGGGATGAACACTCAAAACACTCCGCTTTACATTAGGCTTTGAAATGAGGCAAAACTCCGCCAAGGTAACCAAATAAGAAGGGGGTGTGTGGGGGATGGGGTGGGGGTGGGGGATTATAAACACACGTGTGATTCACTATTAGATGCACGTTCCCCACACTGTGCAACGGGCAGTCAAAACAATCATCCCTGTCTCAAAATCTAAGTAAGCAAACAAAACCAATATACGTTTTAAAAATTATGTGTGCACGCATATCAGGTACACAACAATTTTCAGCCCTGTGACATGTCTGACATTAAGGTTTACCTGTGAAACCGTGCTTGATTACAAACTTTATCTGTAATCAAGATTTTCATCGCGAACCCAGTACCACGGCAAAACCTCCAAGAAAGCGCCGAGGCCTCGTTACGTACATCTCACATTCTTGCGGCTGTTCTCTTTGTACACAACAGGACTAAATGATACTCTTTACAACCCATGTTGATCCCTTAACCAACTTTAGGGAGCACTTACATTTGAAGGCCAACATCACGGGTGAAGATGAATTCACATCCTTCCCTTCTCTCCTCTGGTTATGTGGAAAATTGTCATGCTTCCTTTTCCTGAACCCTCCTGCTCCTTACGTAGAGGAGAAAAAAACGTTGGCTAGAGTTCTTCCACCGACTTGACAAAACACAACAAAGGCAAACCCCCTCCTTCCCTTAAAACCAGATACCTACAGGCCCTAGCCTTACACGCACTCTCAGCAGACAGAAGGGGGGCGGGGGGGCCTTGCCTTTTCTCCCCAAACCTTAGGTAGGTTCCTCGCCTCACCCGGGCTTCCACCAATGGGTTCCTAGCTAGATCCAACACAAGGTGGAGCAATTATGGAACGAAGATCAAAAATAGATCTCGAGGTTTTGAGAAAATGAGATGGAAATCGGGCCAACGTAGCTGGGATGGGGGGAGGGGGGCTGGGCGGGGGGCTGAGGAGTCACCACCCTCCTGGAAGGAGAGCGCGCGTCTCTCAAGAGCGAAAAGTAGAAAAATCGACCCATTTAAAGTCTCCCACCCCGGGAAGATGTAATGCCCAGTGTGTGAAGACGCCACCTTCTTTGTTGCTCATGTCGTCACAGCTGAGATGAAAGAAGACTGAGTAACCCTGGGAATGAGCGGAGTGCGTCGGGCGGCCGCCGGAGAAAAACCCAGCCGAGAAGTCGCCTTTCGCGGCCGGACGAAGTCGATGCACTGGCCGGAAACGGACGCTGGGCAGACACTCCAGCGTCTTCCTCCGCTGCAGAGCACACTTCCGGGCCGCGTCGCGCTCCGCCACCTCGCGCGCGTCCTGGGGACCCCGCGCTCGCCCGCGCGCCAGCGCCGCGCTTGCCCTCTGCTGCGCCTGAAGACAAAGGCAGTCCTACAGTCTACGCTGCGTGCGCCGAAAAAAAAAAAAGATACTCCTACTTGTAGGTAATATGATTTTAAAGGTGGAAAGTTAAGAAAAATGTGCTTTGCCCCCCACCCCCGCCGCCACTTCCCGCCCCTCAGGGCACCTTTGTAACCCCCTCTGGCTTTCTCAGCATGGACCCCGCCTCCCTCTTGGTGCACTGTGGGGGTTGTAGTTCACTCTCAGGAGCCGGCCTTAGGGCCTGTCCACCGAGTCGTGAGGGGCCGTGTTCCCTTGAGCTTCTTTGGAGGTCTCTTTAGCATTTTACCGAATTATGAGGTATTTTGGTTTGTTTTATTTTGGGCTGGAGCGATAGCACAGAGGTAGGGCGTTTGCCTTGCAAACTGCCCACCTGGGCAACCTGGATTTGATTCTTCCGCCCCTCTCGGAGAGCCCAGCAAGCTGCCCCGATATCTCACTCGCATGGCAGGGCCTGGCAAGCTACCCGTGAGATATTCGATATGCCAAACACACAAACACAGTGACAACAAGTTTCACAATGGAGACGTTACTGGGCCTGCTGAAATCCATCAGGACAGTGACAGTGCGTTTTTGTTTTTCACTCTTTGCTGCTGGAGCACAGGCCTAGAGATAGAGGAGTGGAGGTATGCAAATGAAGTGGGCGGGGCTACGGAAATGTAAAAAGTGACCCAAAGCGCTTTCCCTACCCGCTGTCCTAAATTGCTTCCTCCTATCCCCTTGTCTCTTCTCTTGCTGTACTCCCCATATTCCTTGCTCCGTGACGCCACAGGGTTATTTGATGGACAAGAGAGTCCATCAAACGCATAGAATATTCAAATGCATAGAAGAATGTGTGTTCACGCCACTGGCCGAGCAAGTGAAAATAGAGATAGATAAATGGGACTATCTTAAACTAAGAAGCTTGTGCACCTCAAAAGGAACAGTGACCAAAATACAAAGATAGTCTACAGAATGGGAAAGGATATTCGCCGAATACATATCTGACAAACGGTTGATATCAAGGACATATAAATTACTGATTGAACTCCACAAGAAGAAAACATCCAACCCCATAAAAATATGGGGCAATGAAATGAACAGAAACTTTCTCAAAGAAGAAATCCGAATGGCAAAAAAAGCACATGAGAAAATGCTCTACCTCATTAATCTTCAGGGAGATGCAGATCAAAACCACAATGAGATACCATCTCACACCTCAGAGACTGGCCCACATCCAAAATAACAAAAGCAACCAATGCTGGCGCAGATGTGGCGAGAAAGGGACACTCCTTCACTGTTGGTGGGAATGCCGACTGGTTCAGCCCTTTTGGAAAACAGTATGGACGATTCTCAAAAAATTAGAAATAGAGCTCCCATTTGACCCAGCAATACCACTCCTGGGAATATATCTCAGAGAGGCAAAAAAGTATAGTCGAAGTGACATCTGCACTTGTTTGTTCATTGCAGCACTCTTTACAATAGCCAGAAACTGGAAAAGACCTGAGTGCCCAAGAACAGATGACCGGTTAAAGAAACTTTGGTACATCTACACAATGGAGTACTATGTAGCTGTTAGAAAAGATGAAGTCATGAAATTTACATACAAGTGGTACTACATGGAAATTATCATGCTAAGCGAAATGAGTCAGAAAGAGAGGGATAGACATAGAAAGATTGCATTCATCTGGGGGACATAAAGTAACAAAATAGGAGATTAATACCCAAGATTAGCTGAGATCAGCACCAGGAGGATTACTCCATAGCTTAGAGGCCAGCCGGGCATTCTAGGGGAAAGGGCAGCTCAGATAGAGAAGGGAGCACCAAATAAAGGGTGTTTGGAGGATCCTCGCAGGAGGGGAGATGCATGTTGAAAGTAGACTAAGTAGACTATGGACTGAACATGTTTGCCACTCAATGCCTCTTTTGCAGACCACAACACCCAAAAGGAGAGAGAGAACAAAAGGGAATGCCCTGCCACAGAGGCAGGGTGGGATGGGGGTATGGGGGTGGGAGGGATATTATCCATGGTGGTGGAAAATGGGCACTGGTGGAGGGATGGGTATTTGATCATTGTATAATCGAAACCCAGGCACAAAAAATTGTAAATCTACAACTGTACCTCATGGTGTTTCACTAATAAAAATAAATAAATAAAAAGAAGAATGCGTGTTCACGTAGTAAATGCTCGATTACATACTAGCTTTCGTTCCCTCTATCTCGATTTAAAAAATCGAGGAGCCAGAGAGAGACCTAAGCAACTTAAAGTGCTTGCCTGTGCATACATCTGATCCTGTAGGGTCTCCCCCACCTCCCACCCCCACCCAGCACAGCCAGACGTAAGCCCTGAGCACAACCAGGTGTGGTCCTGAAAACAAAATAAATAAATACGAACAGAGATTAATTCCACCAGAGCCAATTTCCTAGGATGGCTTCTGATTTGTGTTGCAGATCACCGGATTCTTGGCTATCTCACCAGTTGTTTGCAGGTGACTTGGGTGAAGTGGGGATCGACAGGTGGCCTCAAGGAAAGAGTGCTTCTGCCTCTCTTTTCCACCCTTCAGGCACCCAGGGGAATGTTTGGTATGTTTTAATGGCTGGTAAAGTCATACAAGCACCTGCGCAGAGGCTATAAGGCAGCAGACAAGCCGTGCCAAAAGTCCACTTGTCACCCGAATTCTTGGGGAGCCATGGACTGAAGCTGGAGTGAGGAATTGTGCTTGGCAGGAAAGGGAACGTTATCCCTACTCTCTGCCCCAGCTTTCCAGGAACTCCACTTTCCCCTGCAGAATAGAATTTCAGGAGGAGAGGAAATAGTGAAGTAAAATAGTTCTATTTAAAGAAATTTACTTAGAGAAATGTAAGAGAAGAGAAAGAATTGTGTTATAGAGAAAACACGGGCTTCACCGGGGGGGGGGGGGGGGGGGAATCTGAGAATACTGAGAATACCCCAGGCTGAGGTGTGAGATAGTGGCTAATCTCCAGGGTGGAGAATGAATAATAAAGTAAAAGAAATAAATTAAACCTCTTGGGTCGTGATTCTGGCCAATCGTGATTCTTAACAATTATCTGAGGTGGAGAATAAGACTCTTATGCCTTTACAAAGTTAATTTTATAGTAAAGTAAAGTAAAGGCCCTCCCGTTAATCATTGATTTGCTCGAGCGGGCCCAGTAACGTCTCCATTGGAGACTTTGTTGTTACTGTGTCTGGCATATCGAATACATCACGGGGAGCTTGCCAGGCTCTGCCCTGCGGGCGAGATACTCTCGGTAGCTTGCCGGGCTCTCCGAGAGGGGCGGAGGAATCGAACTCGGGTCGGCCATGTTGGCTGAGTGCAAGGCAAACGCCCTACCGCTGGCAAGCTACCGAGAGTATTGGATATGCCAGACACAGTAACAACAAAGTCTCCAATGGAGACGTTACTGGGCCCGCTCGAGCAAATTTTATAGTAGGACTTCTTTTAAATGCCTCGGCCTTGAGTTCTCTAAATGCAGAAAATGTAATCTGAGTCCAGCACAGCAGGTAGGGCGTTTGCCTTGCAGCCAACGTGAAAGGAGCTCGATTCCTGATTCCTCCGCCCCTCTCGGAGAGGCTGGCAAGCTACTGAGAGTATCTCGCCCACACGGGAAAGCCTGGCAAGCTACCTGTGACATATTTGACATGCCAAATACAGTAACAACAAGTCTCACGATGGAGACGTTACTGGGCCCGCACAAGCAAATGGATGAACAACGGGAGAACAGTAATAGTGACAGTAATCTGAGTATTGTCTCAGGAAAACAAAAAACTTTGGGTGCTTGGTGGTCATATTACATTTTCATGATCTCTAGAAGTATGTCCCTTTTTGAGAGAGTACACTTTTTCTGGATGCTGTCTTCATTTGAGCACCTGGATTCATTTTCCCATCTCCAAAGAGCTCAATATTTGCTTCTCAAAGAATGTGGTTCTCATGCCTTTGGGCTACTTCAAGGGAGGCAATTTCATCCTAGTTTTATTATTTTCTCAAACTCATTACCACCCTGCGCCCCATCTACTGCCTGCAATAGTAACAATAACTGGTATGCACCACAAAATTCTGAGCTTTTTACTTATTTTTCCTCTGCTTCCCTTTCCTTAGTAGTTGCATAGAAAAAGGTTAAGCATCTGTGCATCTGATTGGTAACTGGGACGGGGACAGGGGGGTGGATTGCAATGCTAGCATACAACTGTGGTGATCACACACACTATTGCAGCTACCCACCCCTACCCCAAATACTAGTTCAATAATGGTAAACCTACTAAAGTATTGAAAACTGGCATGCCCATTAAGAATGGAATCCGACATCCTCTAGTTAAAAATTTTGTTTAAGGTTTGATGAACTAGGTGACCTCAGTTTAATAGGGTAAACAGATATATTTTACTATCCGTTCTTTGACCTCCATGTTTTGACATTTTTTACACAGTCTTCCCTGCTCCTTCATGTAGGAGTAAGAGAATGGTAAATGCAAAGCTGTTGCTGTTGCTTGTGACCTTGTATGAGATCTAACCCAGCTGACATCCACCAGCATTCCTCTCCTACTTGATTAGAGATAATTTAACCATTGGAAAGAAGAAAGACCACTCCTATATAAATGTTTTGATGTTTTAATTAAAACAAAACGTTTTTTAAATTTTATTGATTCACCGTGAGATATAGTTACAAGCTTTCAGGTTTGAGTTATAATTACACATGATCAAACACCCATCCCTCCACCGGTGCACATTCCCCACCACCAGTATCTCCAGTATACCCACCTTTTGTACCTTCCCACTGCCTCCATGGTAGACAGTATTCCCCATACTCACTCT